CCGGATTTCTTGCCACATGATTCCCTGTCCTGGCGGTACAGGTTAAATCCGTCAATGGACACTAACGCGTCAGCAACATGAGGGTTCAGCCAACATTCTTGTATGAAAATCAGACAAGTATGAACGTAAATCCGGGAACGGAGAACAAGTGATAAATCCGAGATTTTCGTGAACAATGAACGTGTGTTCGTACTCAGTAGTGATGGGACGGGCATCTTTGACGGAGGGGTGCAGTTAAGAGCAACTTGCCATCCGGCCCGGTTGCACTTTTTGTGTGAATTCCGAAATCCGAGAGAATTGAGTGCGGTTGAATCAAATCGTGATGTGAATCCGTTAGAGTGTTTGAGTAGAAGTAATTCCAAAAGTAATGCCATAATAATGACAAAAATCCTTCAAATTCGATGAGATGTGATAACACGAGATTGTAGCGCAGCCAGTCAAATGGCGCGCGTATTCGAAATACTTTGTGGGATTACGAGTAAGATTCGAAGGGAAAAAGCTCTGTTTTAGGGATGGCTTCACATAGCACTGCCCAATCGAAGGAAGACACAATTCAGATAGGAATACTACTTCAGACAAATGGAGCTAAGCAGTTCACGATAAGAGAGAGAGCGAGGAATATGATCAAAAAAAGTACCTGTTCAAAAATACAAAAGGGTCAGACCGAGCGGATTCATAATAGAACCGGGTACGTATACGCTCATTTGAAGAAACCGCATGCAGCCCGCACCCTTTTGCTTTTCAGGCAAGGTGAAGAGAGCAAAATGTAAAAAATCCGCCAAGAGACTACCCAGGAGGAGGGACGAAAGCTTCCATTAGTATAAAATCTACAGAAGTTACAGTGATACGAAACTAGCGTTTTATTGACACCATGGGATTGGAGGAAGTCGCAATGCGGACAATTGTAACTGGTTCCTAACAGTCTTCAGTGTTACACGTGTTTAACACACGTTTCAAGATAAATGCTAAAGAGCTCGACGCAAAAGGCAGTTGATTTCAGCTCTGATCAGGCTAAAATGATCCTCCGTTCTGTCTTCCGAATGATTCCAACTGTGTGGATACTACGCTTGTTATCAGCGTTCATTTGGCCACACACGGAGTACGCCGTTCAAGTATGGAAATCCATGGTTAAACCACGACAAGATAGCTCTAGAACGTCCCCAAAGGTTGGCAACGAAACTGGTAAAACGTCTGTATAACAATCCATACTCCGAACGACTGCAAATATTGGGACTCCACTCATTCTAATACCGCCGACTTTGAGGGAACCTAATCTTGGTTTGTGACATATTGCATCAACCCAATCACCCTTGCCGTTGCCTGCTGACTTTATCTGATAATGATCACCCAAGGGGACATCCACTAGAGGTGAAAAACGAGAACAAGCTCTTTCATTGCCAACATCACTCGTTTGCAGTCAGAGTGTGCGGCGTATGGAATTATCTTCCACCGGATGTAGTTTGTCCTCCTACAGTTTAATTATTTGAATCGCAACTAGATAAAGTATCGGGATATTTAAAATTTCAACATCCCTGACTGATCACGCATATTATTACAATTGTTATTTTCTCTTTGTGAAGTTATTCAACAGATTCTGTCAAAATCCTATGGGGCAAAATAAGCTTTAGCTTTATTAAATCTCCCATAATAAAAGTTGGACTTTGACTTTGATGATAATGGGAAAAGCTTTGTCCTATCGATGGCTTCACATAAAATCACATCATCTGCCTATTTGAAGGAAGAGAGCGTTCAGATAGAAATACTACTTCAGATAAATGGAGCTAAACAGTTCACGATAAGAGAGGGAGTGAGGAACATGATAACGAGGAGAGTACCAGTTCAGAAATACAAAACATACAGATTGAGCCGATTCATAATAGAACCGGGTACGTATGTGAACATACGAGCATAAAATATTCTACTATGGTACCTGTCTCTATCTACACTGTCTTCTCCAGAGTAAATGAAAGAAGAGGGTACTACTCTGCCGTTACAAACACAACGAGTTTAAAAGAGGCGATATATGTAAAAGATGATGTATATTTCTGTGAATAGGTGGACTTTATTCTCTAGAGAAAGACAAGAGGAAAACTGGTAAGAAGCAATACTCATGGAACGTCAAGGGATGTTTCGAGATTTACGAAGGGTTGGTTGCAATCGACAAAAAGCATGTGGAGACTGCTTTTCAATAGATGCACTGAATGCATTATGATGATGTATTCATAGTGCAAGACATCAAACAGTTCAACAGTTGATGTCATTGCAGTAATATTGGAAAAGCACTTTAAACATGACATATGAACATGTTGCCTAAAATGCTTCCGGTTAAGATGTTATAAAAGACCAAGCAATATTCGGCATATCATGCTGATATGGATTAAGTGTGATTATGAACAGATCTTTTCAATGACGTTCATGCACCAATCACCATGACTCACGTTAATACCAAGCGGAGGGAATATAGTGCCAACCATCACCCCGTTACAAAATATCGAAAGTTGCGGAGTCATATGTGGCAGAATTGCTGTTGGATTAGCCAGCTGAGTATGGCACATGCGTTTGTGCATCGCAAACCAACTTCTCGGACCATAACCATTGATGAAGGCAAGCCATTGCATATTCTTCTTTCGGAATTCTCCGAAGTATTTGATCGAGTAAACCACCAAATTTGTAAGCAAACACTCTACAACTGCATAATAAAAGGTATTGTTTTCGAAGAGTTACACCGAGAAGGAACAATGTCAGGTCGTGTTGGCGATTCATAATATCATCCCATCACTGTTTTCGATGGGTTATTGTAATGGTTGTAGAAGTAGCAGTAGTGACGTTACGCAATAGGAATCACGGAACACGAATTAGAAAACCGAAGGCACTGGACCGCAATGGCTCGAACTCACAATAACCCGGAGGATCGAAACGCTAGGAAAAAGGCCGCAAGTCAGGCGAATCACAAAGTCGTTTATTGAAGGAAATGAAACTGAATATATATGTACACAAAAAAAGGTCATTGACTACCTTAGTTCCCGCCAATAATATTGCATCACATCTTGCGTTATATTGCTCTTCTCTGCATTGTATCTGACTGGCTGGCACGGCCCACCAATGACGTGTATCTGGAGGCTGTGCACGTACTACTGGCATCAGCGCTCAAGGTCGATTGACTACCGATGTCCGGAAACTTTACCGGGTGCTCCAGGGCAGGCGTGATCTCGTAGATCCCAATCACCACATCTCTCCTCCCTCAAAAGAGCCTCGGCGAATTGGCTTGCTCTTCTGACTGGTCTTCGGAGTGCTAGTGGGGTATTCTCGTCAGTAGACGTTCCCGGAGTAGAGGGTTGCTGTGTATGGTCTTCTGTGGTTGTTGACGGCGTATCATAGGGCAGGTTTTGTGGAGTTTCTTTCGGCAAGCTCTTCAGTCGAGGTCGGGGTTTCGTTAAAGTTAATTTGGTCGCTGTGGCGTCGATGGACCGTTGCATCTGTCAGATCAGTGATCTCGACTATAGCTTGACCAATCTTGCGGGTAATGATTTCTCTTGATGGACGCAAGTCGTTTCCTCGGAAGTATATGACGTCACTCGAATCCACGCATCGTAGTGAGGAACGTAAGCTTCTGACTTTGAACAGTTTTGCTGGGCTCTTTTTGGTGGTAGCATGTGCAGCATTCCGGTATTGCAGAAGGAGGTTGTCTATGAGTATCTCCAACTCGACAATTGTCCTTGGATTTGCAGAGGAAATGGTACTCTTCATTTTTTAACCAAATGTTCTGCTGCGCCGTTCCAGCTGGGGTGACGTGGTGCTGTGCGTAGATATCGGCATCCAATACTGTCCAGCCACGTTTTCAACTCCACCGCGCAGAATTGCGATCCATTGTCATTCACCAACACTTGAGGCACACCCTCTCGACTGAAACACTTCCGTAGTACTCGCATCACAAACGATGTAGTTGGTGTGCTGGTTAGAAACACTTCAGGTCATTTGGAGTATGAATCGATAAGTACTAGTGCGTGATAATGACCGAGAAATGGTCCACAGAAGTCGGCGTGCACACGTTGCCACGGAATATAACTTTCTGGCCATGGAACCCAATTCTTCGGTTTTGACTTCAGCTTTTGTAGGCATGGTTCACAGTTCTAAGCAGTTCGACCAATGTCTTAATCTAGACCGGGCCACCAACACAGCTGTCTTGCCAACGACTTCATCTTCTCCACCCGCAAGTGGCCTTTGTGTAGGTCTTCTAGCACAGCTTTGCGTAACGGAAGTGGGATTATCAGTCTATGGTTGCGGCATAGTATTCCGTCAGGTTGGACAATGATTTCCTGACGGTGTGCATAGAAAGCTGCGAACTTCCGCTTCAGGTCGGGACGCCATCCTTTTGATAGAACCGTTATGATTTCTGCATAGTATCCTTTGGTACATCGGCGCAACTCCTCTCGGGATACCGGGGCAGCGGTAGCAACGAAATGACACTTTTTAGCCTCCGAGAATTTGGACCACCGCGAGAGAAAATGGGCCTGGGGAATTTCTTTCCCCGGACGGTGCATTATGTCGTAGTCGTAAGCAGCCAATACAATGCTCTATCGGTGAATCATCGCCGCCGTCGGTTTTGAGATCGACTTTTGTGGACTGAATAGATATTGCAGCGCTTGATGATCGGTTACGATGGTGAAACGCAAGCCAAACAGGTATTTGTGTAGGCGACGGACGGCCCAATATACAGCAAGTGCTTCTTTTTGCGTCTGCGAATATCCACGTTCTGCTTTGTTGAGTAGACGGGTGATGCAGACAATCGGACATCCGTTCTGTTTGAGGACGGCACCAATACCAACATCTGATGCGTCGGTGATTAAAGTTGGATGTTTTGTCGGAGAGACCGAGGCGAGTACTGGTCGGTCAGTTATCATCCGAATGATTTCACGCAGAATTTGTTCACACTCGGTAGTCCATTTCCATTCCGCAGTCGACTGAGCAGCAAACAGTGGTTGGGCTTTTGTGGCGAAGTTCTAGATGGAACGCGAATAGTATTGGAGACCTCCCATGATGGATCTATGTTGGTTTTGATCACTTGGTGACTGGAGTTCAGTCAATGGACGAAGGTGACTTGAATCAGGACGATAGCCTGTGGCATCTATTGTGAAACCCAATAATTCCAATTCTGGTGAGCTGAACATGCATTTGGAGGCGGCAATCGACACGTTCTTTTGGGAGAACCGCTCCAGTAGTTTGAGAAGTCTATCGTCATGCTCGGCCTTCGTTGCTCCAAATACAGTGACATCGTCCTGGTACGCTAACACGCCATCGAGTCCACGGATGACTTCGTCAATTGCAGCCTGAAATACTTCTGAGGATGTGTGGAGACCAAACGGTAGGAAGTTGTATTGATACAGTCCTCATGGTGTGATGATAGTAGTGAAATGACGGCAGGTTGGTACGAGTGGAATCTGGAGGTATGCATCGGCCAAGTCAATCTTCGAGGAGCATGTACTGCCGTGCAATGCTTTCATGCAATCCTCCGGTTCCATGGTGGTAGCCGCACACGTTCGTAACCGCGGGTTGAGTGTTAAGCGGTAGTCACCACAAATTCGCAGTGTTTTGCCGTCACTCTTGATTGCGATCACGATTGGCGTTGCCCATGTACTGGATTTGACTCGTGTGATTATACCATCGCGCTCCTTTTTCTCAAGGGTCTGTAGTACACCATCACGTTGGCCGTAGGGAATGACACGTCGTTTCAGGGAAATAGGTTCACCGTCAACTTCCAGTTTGGCCGGCTGTACGTTCAT